TAGGCAGTACATTGCACCATGTGGCCAGATCAAAGATGGCGTCTGAGGCCACTTGGAACTTTTTTTTTTCTTTCTTTTTGTAATCTCTGCTGTTTCATTAGCATTTCTAAAGGCAATAATGGTTCTTCAGTGGTATGTTGCTTTGTCTTTGGCTACTTCCTGCTCTCTGCCTGATGGATTTTGCAAGCCAACTGTGGAGCAGTGGTGTTTTAATTAGCAAATGTATGCCTGGGTGTTAAGGAAAGAGTAGCCTTAAGCAGTAACTGGTAATCGCTGGTATCCTTGATGGATTCTTGGAGATAACTTGAATTTTTGCAAAGTCTGGATCAGAAAAATTAACAAGATTTTGTCTGAGTCTGAAAGGATTTGCTACTGTGAATTTTGTCTACACAATTTGTTTTGGGCATGTTTGCCATTTTGAATCCTGGATTTGTTCAATTGCTGGTGTAAGACAAGATTCTAAGTTTCTGCTTCCTACTGAGGAAGGTCTGTTGTGGAAAGCACTCTTTAGGGTGCATCATGTAACTGTACCAGGTTTTCATACCTGTGTTGTTGTGAGAGGGGCAGCCCAAACCCCGCAAACCTGCCTATTCTACATGGGTTCTGCCATCCGCCGCATCAACACAAAACATAGGAGACTTTAATGGGAAGGAACTTTAATAAAACTAGGAAACAATACAGGTAAGGCAAAGAGTCTAGTTTCTAGTTTCTAGTCTAGTTTCTAAATGAAGCATCCAGAGTTACCCGTCCCCTCGTGGGTGAAAGTCCATCCAAATGGGATTGGCCCAGAACAAGGCCCCAAAGCCTGCTACAAGTCTAAAGCATCTTCCAGTGGGGACCCACAGAAAAGGGTCACAAACAACTGGACAAGCCCGGAAGGAAAAGAGCAAAATCAACATCAAGATAAAAGCTGCCATTGTCACCTCCCCACGGGTCTCACCCACATCTGTGTCACCCAGTCCACGACCAAAAGACAAGCGCAGTTTCTTCACGTGTCTCTAGGCTCCATGCGCCTCCTCCAGGTCTCCTTGCTCCATCCTGCTTCCTTCCTCCATCTCTTCCTGCAGCTTCTTCTCTTCCTGCTCAGCTCCACCCTCCCTTGGGTGGGGCGGGGAACCTGGAACTTCCCCCTTTCCTGGGGACCACCTGTTACAGTCCCACATGGTGTGCAGCCCTCTCCTGCCGCGCCCACTGCTCCCCTCAGCAGTGTATTTCGTCAGTCTGCCTGTTCTGCTCCCCGCTCTGGCTCTGGTGAATCTCTCACCCTCCCACACTTCTGACTGTACCCAGTGCTTGTATAAATAAATAAATAAATCTTAAAAATAAATGCATAAATAAATCTTTTAAAAATATATATATAAAAAAAGAAACAGTTTTCATCTTTATCTAAATTGACTCCCAAGGAAGTTTAAGGCAAAATGTTTGTGCTAAGAGCTCCCTGGTGGCCTAGGGGTCAAGTCTCATTGCTATCACCTCCACAGCCTCAGTGTTATCCTGGCCAGGGAGCTTACCCACATGGCACAGCAGGCCTCTCCAGCCCCCCACCCCCACCCCCATTCTTCTACGCATAAAAAAATTTAAAAATCAACCAAAAAACCCCAAAATGTTTGTGTTTAAAAACCTATTTTTATCATCTACTGATACCTACCTTAACCCCTTTGCCTAAGAGATTAGTTAACAAGCTCCTGGTTTTTGTCAACTTGGGCTAACATCAACTGTTATTTTCAATTCTTAATTGTTTCTCCCCTTCGATTTACTCTTAGTTTATATCAGCAGTTGACAAACCATATATGGGGAGCCAAATCCAGCCTGCCATCTGTTTTGTATGGGATCAGACACTTTAGAATAGTTTTTACACATTTAAATGGTTGAAAAAAATAATAAAATATCACGTTTGTGATATATTGAAGTTATATGAAGTTTATATTTTGGTGTCCATAAAGCTTGGTTGGAAAACAGGTATATCCATGCATTTTTACACTGTGCAATACAAGAGTTGTAGAAAAGTAGAGTTGAGGGTTTGTGCTAGACTGTTTAAAGCCTAAAATATTTACTATCTCATTCTTTCCAGAAAAAGTTTGCTGACCCTGGTTTTACACCATTTCCAAGGTCCATCGTGAAAATATTATTTTAAATCTACCTAAAGTTTTGTATTCTTTGTAGGAAAATTTGTTCTTTCAGGTAGTGCACTTTAATGGTGTATCCCAAATTTCTGAGATGAGTTAGAGTAATGATAAAGTAAGGTGCCTGCACAGTATTGAAAATGTCTGGGTTTTGTTAAATTTATTTTTATTTATTTATGCATACAAGAATTGGGTGCAGGCCAAAAGTGGGGTGGGGGCAGGAGGTGCGAGAGGATTCACCAGAGACAGAGTGGGGAGCAGAATGGGCTGATCGACTGAAATACACTGCTGAGTGGAACAGTGGGTGAGACCGGAGAGGTCTGCTGTGCCATGTGGGTTTGCTCACTGGGCAGAGATCCACTCATGCCCCAGTGGCTGGTGATAACTTGATAATGCTGAGACTTTAACCCCCACTCCCCTAGGGAGGCCCGAAAATGGCTGTTTTTATTGTGGGCAAAACCACCTGCCAAGAAATATGTCCTCTGGTAGGCAAGACTGAGACATTGGGTCTTGGAGAAACCAAGGCCCCTTACCTGCTGGCCTCAGAGCAGTGATAAGCAAATAGCCAGGGGCATTTGGATAGGGCTGGGAAGCAGGCCCCATCACCTCATCTATGGAGCTGAAACCAGAGGCAGTCAGAAAGACACCTTTGAGGGGACGCAGGGCAATTTGGCCTTTCTCTTTTTTTATGTATTTTCCATTCTTCTTTGTTTCCTACCTCCTATATGTATATCCCTTGGATCCGGGGGTTTAAACCCTCAGCTTCACGCATCAGGCCGTGTGAATCTGGATTTCAACACCTTCATTTACTAATTTTGTCTTGTCATCTTGGGTGGGCTCCAGAGGCTCTATAAATCAATTTATGGAAATCCACTCCAAGAGCGGTAAATTTGCTGAATTTACTAGCTTGCCAAAAGCATTTCTCTTTTACCTATTTGTAAATATATAAATTTCACTGGCAGAGTTACAGGTCCAAGGAGGTTGTGAGACACCCAAAATGCATGTTCCTGTAAGATTTAGGTCTTGCCCTTCTCATCTCTCCTTCTGTTGTTTCTCTTGATCTGTTAAGTCATCCTCTTTCGCCATCCCAGTCCTTGTGACCCTATCTTTTCCCCTTTGCATGAACTGGCTTTTAGTGAGTTGGGTATTTACATTACCATGCAATTACATCATGGATAAAACAGATAATCTTGCCTATCTCATGGAGCTGTCATGAATACTTATTGCTAGAACTGTGTTTGGCTTACAAGAAATTCACAGGTTAGTTTAGCAATTATCATCATTATTATACCCCAACTTTCCAAACAGCTCTACTAAATATTGTTACTTAGGGTGTCTTTGGTGTGATGTGGAACTAGGAAAACACAATTAACAAACTGTTATTTGCTGGCTGGTGGTGATTTGGGGATGAGGGCGAGGCCACTACAGTTAATGAAATTACTAAGTGAAGTGACAACCAATCAGAACATTCTTAAAGAACATTTGGAATACCTGCAAAGTATGAAGCAAACAGAATCCACAGTCACGCTGGGTTATAGTCATCTAAACTCCTACCATTCGGGCTGTAGCAAAAACGTTAGAAAGCTAGGTATCACATAGGGTTCTGGCATTTTGGTGAGGTTTGCCAATGGAAATAGGATACTCTAGTCTTAGATATTAAGGCCAAGGTCATTTTTAAGGTAAACAAATGAAATGTGCATGGAAACACTTTGTAATTGTTGAAGCAATACACAACTCCATTTTCCAGGCTTCTGTGAAAATTACTAGTATTGAATAAACTGCTTTGGATTACATGGTTCCTTTTTATTGAGTGTTTGGATTTATGCTTCTTTAAGATTTTCTGGATCCAGTGGTTTTCAATGAGGTAGTGCTAATCCTTGGTGGTAGTAGGTGGTGGAGAGGTTTTCAAAAATATGTGGAGCTCTTTAAGGTTATCAAAATCATGAAAAACTACATCATCACTTATTGAATGGAGACCAGAGTTCCTAGATATCCTGCAATGTGTGGGCAATCCCTTACAGCAAAGATTTGTTCCATATCCTGTGATTTTTAGAGGTTTCACGCTTCTGGAGATTTCAACATAGGGGGGAAAATCTGTTTCTAATAGTGTAATAAAATATAACACTTAGAAGAACACTTTTAATATACATATAAAATTTCCAGGTATGCCAATAGGTGTAAGTTGAGGACAGATTGTACTTTACTGCTGAAAGAATTTTAGGGAGTTATTCAGTCATTTCAGGAAAAGTCACATCACTGGAGACAAGACTGTGGTATTTGAGTTACCAATGAGATATGCCTCTGTTAGAAGTGCTATTCTACACTACAAATTCTTTTGAGGACAAGGACTGCAATCTTTACTAGCATAGGTTCTAGTTTGGGCTCATTCACTGAATAAAAAACAGGAATAGCTACTGGCTTCAGAGGAACTCAAAGGAAAAACACAGAAATACTCCAAAGAGGTGTTAAAGAGAACACACACCTCAGTTTCCCAAGATGCAATTCTCTTCTACATCTTAACCAATTTATGTATTCCATGGGGTCTGGCACATAAGTACCGAATCATTAGTGGATTTGTCTATCCTCTTTGTTGTTTAAATAATCTCCATCTTGTACAGCTGTACACAAATAGACTTTGCAGTGCCATGCAGTGACTAAGCAGCGGTTTGGAGTCCCAGAGTCAAGAACTACTAGGTTTGAATGACCATGCAAATATAGCTGTGAGAGTCTGTCAAATACAAGTTCATTTGACTTTGATAAAAACAATCTTTAACTCATTATATGTTCACTTTGAAAACAGAGGCATAGATATGAGACTAAGGAATAAAACTTAAAGAAATATGTGAAATATAAATACAATAAAACTTTAAATAGGTATCCAACCAAACTTTTATTGGGGTTTTATTGCAATCTACTTTCAGCAATAAGGGGAGAGTAACCATAAGAACGCCAATCAGATTTTATTCAACATAGCAGTTTTTCATGAATGCTTAAGGTCAGTGTATAGTCAGCTCAGCTTCCAGTATCAACTTGAGTACCTCATCATAGAAATTTATGCCAGAATGACAGTAGTAAGGCATTGAAAGATCCTAAATCATCTAAGATTAAACCATATTTTACATATATTTTTTTCGGTCAGTATAGTAACACTCTACAATAAATAAGATTTTAAAAATGTGTTGCTTAGCCCTTGTTGAACTATATTCAATTACTAGCTTATTCTTTAAGTACTCCAGTTAATAAAGGTTTGATTGTATTCAAGAACTCTGACTTTTCCAAAGATAAAAAATTAGTTCTTATCTGTTATGACAAAAATTAAGCTCAAAAGCACATTCACACTTGTCCTTAAAAGCATGTTTACACCATATATAAGATAACGTCTCATGCCTGGAGACATGGCTTATATGGCAAAAATAATCAGATGCAAGGAACAACTAGAGGGCAATCCTCCCATCTCCACTTCCTCCAAAAAGCCACACTCGGCCTTAGTGTAAAAGTTATATTTTATTGCCATGCTACAAAATGTATGAAGTTGGCACTGATAGGGAGAAATAGAGAACAAAGGATAGGGAGGTATAGAAGGTAAAAGATGTTGTTACATATACAACAAGGTTTTAATCAACAGTGGTAAATTTTGCCAATATTAAAAATGCAAACCAGAATTTTAAATGCTGATAGGAAACAGCATTAAAATACAATTTATGCATAGTACAGTATCACTTTTGTCTTTTATTAGAGAAATATGGAATGTTTATAAAAGAAATTAACCATAGGGGGTAAAATTCATATTTCATATACAATTTGGCAATGGTAGTCCCACTGTTAGACAATTTTTTATAAAAGAAAAAATTAAAAATCTAATAAGCTACCTTTATACAAAGTTGCTATATTTATGCCTTTATGTAGGAAAAAAACATTTATAATGTAAATTAGGACATACAATAATCTTACAATATTATACAATGTAATGCAAATAAAAACATAACACAAAATTTGTCCTTTATAAAATGTATATTTTGCATTTACTAATGCAAATGTGGCACACCGGTGACTACTGTACTATTAATACCAGTCCATTTCCATGCTCTTATTGTCCAATTATCATAGAATTGCAATTGTAATGATGCTACAAAAGAATTGTTATACCCCCCAAAATGAGGAAGTAAGGATAGGGAATAGGGATGTAAAGAAAAGGAAAAGTAGATACGGTGCTGGTTTGGGCGGAGTATACTGTCGCATTTCAGAGTATTTGTTAATTTTTCAAGCCAAAAAACATTTTCTATACATTCTGTAAATTCGTACCAATGCCTTTATTCAAATTTGGCAAACATCAGGGAAAGGTAATTAGTACCATATACCTCACATATCAGAAATATGAGTGAGATGCCAATACATTAGTTACTTCTGGATTAGTCTGATGGTATATCTATTCCAAAGAGATACACATCTATATTGTATATGTATGCATGTACGTGTTTTTACACATACACACTACACATTGCACAAAACACTTGGGCGCTATAGGTTAGGAACAGCACAGGAAGAAGTGGGAAGTACTTTTTAGCTTGTTAAAACCTTTACCTTGAGGCAAAAATATGGTGGTGGCACATTATTGAAAAATTATGAAAACATAAGGCCCCTGTCCCATTTTGAATAGAACATTATTGAGGTACATTTTTATATGTTGTGCCACAATTTTTTTTTTGTAGAGGAGGGGAGGGATAAACAAACACTAGCTTGACTTAAAACATTGAATTGTGGGGTCAACATTAATATATATATATATATATATATATATAAACAAAGATTGCTTGGCAAATTTTCAAAGTCCCAAGTGTGATCTTTTCTGGATATACTGGGAAGTGAAAAGCTTTTTGCTGAGTCTTCAAGAGTAAAGTGCATATCTCATCACTCCACAGCAGCAGTAAATAAAAGGAACTATTTGCCAATCTTCTTGGAGGGAGGGAAGGCACCATATTTTCATTTTTAAAGATGAAACTGGGAAATGAAATACACTAAGAGAGAAAACACAGGTAATATACCCATATCAGTTTCCAACCCTGGTGTGCGATAAAGGCTGTTATGCTCTATATGGACAAAAGAGGATTCTATTTGGGGGAAAAACATATGAACAAAGATTATATTTCAAAACCAAAATGTGGGATCACATGGTCTATCAACAAAACAATATATCTAAAATTAGGTCTGTCTCAGAAAATCTGAAACATATGGCCACAATCATATGCCAATAAAAATATCTCATTCTAAAATGTACCTAGTAATAGGTACATTCTTCCAGGACAGAGCTTAATGCCCACTACTAAACTACTGCAAAGGACAAGTAGTATTCTACATTACTTTTTTATTAAATAGGAACAAAGGTGATTTCCAGAAGGCATCTAGAAATTAACACCAGTTGTACATATTTTCCTAATACTCATAGTACCTAAATTCAAATTCTTAGCAGACAAATTGGTCCCATTTTCATTTTTAAAGCACATAGTATTTAAAGCATAAACTGTAGTGATTATACTGGAGTTACCTAAAAAGTTTAAAAATTAATTAGACTCTGGAGGGGGAAATGAAAAGAATGAGGAAAAGAAGAAAATAAAATATCCAATCTCCAAAATGAATAAACAGGTCAGCCCTTTCATTTGGAGGTCAATGTTCTGTCTTGACTGCTTTTTTTTTTTTTCCCAGAAAAAAAACATATGTACTGGTTTCATCCTAATTCTTAATTCCACATTATAAATATCATCACATAAATTTGGCACAATTAGCAATCTACTCAGAAGAAAGCATAAATGGAACAATATGTTAAAAATGGAAACTCCAAAACCTATACCTTTGCTCTCTTTTTAGAGAATAGTGAACACTTTAGTAAGCACCAAGTTCACAGGAAAAAAAATTCTGCTATGCACATAAACGAATGGCACTGAAAATGATAAAGACATCTTTAATAATTTATTTTCTTTATAATGGTCCCACTCTATTGTTCTGCTAATCCACCTACCATCCTATAATTAAGCTATTTACTGAAAGTTGGATGCTATATGACTGAAACTTTTCATGCTAACTTAACCTTAATTATATCTGGTAGATCCAGATCATAATCTCAAACTTCCTCATATTTAGAGAAAACAGCAAAATATTTCACAAGATTACCTGCCCTTCTTTTCACTCTACCTTCTCTTGTCTTCTCTAGCATTTGGGAAATGGGAACATTCTTGATTTTCCAAGAGTCAGATATATGGAATCCCATCAGTTCATATAAACTTCAATTCATTTTAAACCCTAAATTATGACACAATCTCATTGCTACAAGACTTCCACTGTACCTGCTATGCTGGCAACAATCTTAACATTCTATTGACATCAAAGAGTAATTAAAGGTCCAGCTATGGGTGAAGGACAGCAGAGTCTAGGAGCACCGCAGCGGGTAGAGTGTGAACGCAGCCACGTGACTGAGGGAATTACCGCTAAAGTGCTGGGGAGAGTGCCCACAGAGACGAAAGTACCTTCAGGGAACTTTGCATGTGAAAAGTAGCTTCCTTTTTTTTTTTTTCTCAGCTGCTAAAGAGATCACCTATGGACACACGTGAATTTAAAAATTGAGAGAATGCTTTTATCAACTTGAAAAGTAAACAGCACATAAATAAATACTGGACAAGGGCAACCCTGTTATAAAATAACAGTAAGTTCCAAATGAACCTTCAAAATCACAATTTGACAAAAATGCAAACTAAACAACAATGAACACATAATCCAATTGCAAAACTATATACAAACTCAAACATTTTAAGTTGAAAAAGACATTAAGCAACAAAGTAAGACATCCCAAACACCAAAGAAAAAAACTGAAGGTAAATAGAAACCTAATGGCACAAATGCCTCCAGAAAACAATGTTATTGGTAATCATCTATTGGTGAGAACCTTTTAAGATTCAGATTTTCAATTTTTTTGGGGGGGTAAAGTGACCTGAGACTGATTCTTGAGCCTATTTTAATTCTGATTAAGTTATTTAGGCATGCCCTTCAAATGACATCATGAGATGAGTAAACAGAAAATCTAGTCTCCTCCCTGCCTTTCAACACACCAACAGCATATTCACGACATAGTACTTTTTAATACCACTGCAGGCAAAGGAACTGACTGGTATAGCAGGAGGTGTGGAACTTCTATTTCCTTAACATAATGTTTTGGCTCAAGTCAAAAAGTCTATAATTAATGAAGTAAAAGATTCCTCATGTTACATGCTGGAGGCCACATACCATGAATAGTGAATCTACAGATTATTACTTTCAAAGCCTAGAGTTACCTGTTAGCAATGCACATTATCAAGAGTCTGTATAAAATGTTTAAAATGCCAACCATGACTTAGACATGATATGCATAAGTCCAGAATATTGATAAAAATCAACCAACATGTCACTCACTTCAACTTTCATTTTAAATAGGCACTGTGAAAATGGGAATGCTGCTGTACAATAATGAGAAGTATATAATGAAATTAGTGTTCTTTATGAGTACCTGCTCTACATTAATTCCCTTTAAAGAAGCACATGAAATATTCAGAAAAAATTTTTTTATCAGTTTATAAAAGGAGTTAGTGTTTAGAAATGAAAATGAAGCACTTGCATCTTCATCTTTAAAAACTTCACAAAGGTGCACACAATGTAATGCTTTCCAGGCTCACATAGGCAGATCAGTACTATTATGTCTAGTTTTCCTAGATGTACCATCATCTCGTGGCAGTGCTTTCTGCAAATTTGACATAGCAGCAGTTCTCTCGATGTCTATCACAGCATACAGCTCTGTGCGCCTGGTAGGGGTTTGTGGAAGGGGAGTGGTAGGTGTTTTTGGAGTCTGAGGGTTGTCAGAGTCACTGCCACCTTCCAAGTCAACCTGTATGTAATTGAGCTGCCTGTGTTCTAAACTCGGGCGTCTGATATCAAAGTTAAAGACTGTCGGTGTACAGTCCCGACGCCTTGAATAGTCTATTTTGTGAGCACTTGCCGGCACTGTTACATTCTCCGTATTTACATAGTTATGCATTGGATCTAGATTATTATGGTAGCCATTTAGAGATGGGGTCTTTGGTCCTAAATGGTCATCTTCATCCCTACTTAGCTTGCGGGCTTCCCAAACAGGAGGCAAAGATGGTAAATTTTCATAGTTTAATAATGCAGTTCTTCTCTGAGCTGAATTATTGATATTCTGGGTATCTGAGGTACTAGTGGATGTCAGACGACCTCTCCTGACCCCTGAGGCACTGGGGATAGATAGCCCGTTTATGTTTTCATACACCAGTTTGTTAACAGAGGGCACATCTCTTCGTTCATCACTGTCATACCCAGTGTCCCATTCTGTGTTATTTGCACCACTTCCACTGACTTGATCTCTCCCAAGTTGCTCCAATTTCTCTTTTTCCATTAATTGCTTTTGAACAGGGGTTGGTCCTAGGACAAATTTGACTCCTTCGGGTTCAAGAAGAATCTGAGGGTCCCTGTCCTCAATACTACTTGGTTCTTCTTTGGGTGTGCTGTTTTCAGCATTAGAAATCCTCGCCTCCAATGGGACATGCACACTTGAGCGGTTTTTCCGCTCTTCTTGCACGCCTGTAGTGTTAACATAGGTATGTACCTAAAACAAACAGGAAATTGAATCAAAACCAAAAAAGTCTGACCACAGAGTTAATTTTTTGATGAAAACTCTCTTTAAAGAAATATACTCTTACTTTCAAGTGTTTGTACCTGTTTTGTTAACTAATAAAAAGGTATGTGGGAGTGGGGAAGGAATGTAGAAATGTCTTCTAACTTGATAAAAGAACAACTACTCTACATCAATATGCAACATTATCCTTGATAATGAAACATGAAACATTTTGTTAAAAAAAAAATGAGGAACACACAGGGATTATCATTTTGATGTTGTTCTAGAAATTCTTATCAATGCATTAAAACATCATTCAGAAAAAATAACAAGAATTAAAGAGACAAATTTATCATTATTTACAGATCATCTAACTACATAAAATAATAAACCTTACAGGTTTAACAAGAGTTCCGTAAAATACAGATATAAAATAAATACCATCTATTAGGAAATTACAGCTACATTAAAAAAAAATTCAATGGTATTTTGGGAGGACAACATAGAAATTCTTATAAGTCTATAAAATTTGAAAAATGCAAAACTGGAGATGTGATTATAGGCTAAGAATTCATTTACTATGTAGAAAACAAAAAGAAATAGAGTTGAAACAGTAAAAATTTCTTAATGATAAACAACCATATATACTTTATAGAAGTATGACTAATATGTAAACAATGTTCAATCTGCTGTCATTTCTCAAATAAAAAACAAGAATATTAAATAGCTGTATAAAAACATCAGCAACAAAATCTTCCCGTTAGTAGTCAACTTATAATTAAAAACTATAATATAAAAAGTGGCATAAACTCAGACTCCTCTGAAGGTTATTACAATGGGAGTTGGCCATTAGTAATATCTTTTTTTATCTATAGATACTCCTCTCCTTTGAGTCCAAAAACTGCAGTAATGCTAAGTTTCCTTGAGCATCTACATATAGTTGGACAGTTGTCAGCAAAAATTTGCTGTTTTCTGATTCTTCACCATGAGAGTCATACAAGGAATGCTTAAATTCAAACTGACTAAAGTATTCAGGGATGAGCACAGTTAACACTTAAGGTCACATAATTTGTTATCTTGTTACACACTAGTACATGCTTACTTGTTCCTCAGCCACAAGCAAAGGATGTGTAGATTCTTCACCCACTGAAGGTAGGCGTGCACTTCCCACGGAAGGATGTCTGCTTGAAGGATGGGATGAAGCATCTCCAAATGAGGGATATCGGGGATATCCATTAGGTAAGTTCTGAGCAGCAAACCCTGGAGCTGGGTTTTTGTTTGTTTATTGGTTTAAGGAAAAAGCAAGATACAGGGGTAGGGCAGAGAGAATAAAAATGAATGAGGATCCAATCTGCACTGATTAAGAGGATTAGGAAAGTATCTGGCCAGATAACAGCAGAAATTAGAGCACAAACAATTCTCCACCTCTAGTCCAACTTTTCATTCACGCTTTAAAAATATGGAACAGGGCCTCCCTGGTGGCGCAAGGGGTTAAGACACAACCTGTGAAGCTGTCCAAAGCCTCTGCAACACAAGTTTGATCCCCGGCCAGTCCGGGAGCTACCCACATGGCACAGCAGACCTCTCCTGTCTCACCCACTGCTCCCCTGAGAAGTGTACTTCGGTCAATCTGCCTGTTCTGTTCCCTAGTCTGTCTCTGGTGAATCCTCTCACCCCCCCGCACCTCTGGCCTATACCCCAGCTCTTGTATGCTTGTATGCATAAATAAATAAATCTTAAAAAAAGTAAAAATATGGAACACATTTAATGTTTTCTATTTAAAAAATTAAAAATATTTATAGTCATTGCTAACAGTCCTTAAAAATTGACTACTATTATACTTTCAGTAGCCAATGGTAATTTCTAGCATAGACTAAGTATCCATAATCTACAGTTTATAGATGCCTATTATTCAAACTACAAGAAGAAAAATGGGCACTTACTCGTAGGGGTTCGGGGTGTTCTGGGGACTTCCAATTCTGTCTGAAGATTATTCCTTTCTACAACTGGCTCTTCCACCACATTTATACTATTATTTTGCATAATCTCTTGCAACATGTTAAATAATTCTTCTGCACGGGCACACTTAAAGGCAAAGATTCCTACAATATAAATCAGAGGGGGAAAATGGTTACCACATCTTTTAAAAAGATACGGGGCTATAATTTTGAGAACAAAATTATAAAGTAAGCATTCTATGCAGAGAAAGGCCTTTTAGGTAAATGTCTGGTAAACCAGCGATGGCACTTGTTTTAAAACTCAAAAGAGGGGCCTCCCTGGTGGCGCAGCAGTTCAGCGCTGGGTTGCGAAGCTGCCCGCAGCCTCTGCCGCGCAGCTGCCCGCAGCCTCTGCCGCGCAGCTGCCCGCAGCCTCTGCAGCGCTGGTTCAATCCCCAGCTGCTCCCCGACCACCGGAGGAGGGTCCCACATAGCACGCAGACCTCTCCTGCCTCCCTGCCGCCCGCTGCTCCCCTCAGCAGTGTACTTCGGTCCTTCTGCCTGCTCTGCTCCCCGCTCTGGCTCTTGTGAATTCTCTCACCCTCCCGCGCTTCTGACTGTACCCAGTGCTTGTATAAATAAATAAATGAATCTAAAATAAAATAAAATAAAATAAAATAAAATAAAGACATCTGTCAAATTTATTTAAAAAAAAACTTAAAAGAAAGTTCACAGAATAATATTCATTTGCCCAAAGGAGATGGCCCAAAACCAGCAGAGAAAAACAAGATTTGCACACGTGAGCTAGTTTGCCTTTTTTAACACTAGGGGGAGCCCAATGCACCATTAACAAAGCAATCCTTCACCTTTTGACCAGGTCCTGGCTACATAGTTCACAACCCTTAATAGTGTTGAACTATTGCACTCATTCTGTAAAGTAGATATTACCATTCCTGGTAATAGGGAAGGAAGGAGATGCTCAGCAAAGGTGGAGAACTTGGCCACGGCCATTCAAGGTAGCAGAAAAATCAAACTAAGTTCTATTGATGCCAAAGTTTGTGTTCTTTCCCCAAATTATAATAGCAATGGCACCTAGTCAACTTACTGGGGCTAATCATTTACTGAAAATCTTAAAAGTTAACATGAAAATTCTGGACATAAGAACACAATTATTAAATACTTGATAAATGAATATATATTTTATTATATCTTTTTCCTAACAACCCACTTATTTGGAGACTATTTTCTATCAGAAAATGATTAAGAATTGCATACAGAATAATTGAAGAAAAGTATTTCAAATGTGATACTATTTGGAGAAAAATGAAAAAGTTTCTACCTACCTTGTCCAGTTTGACACCTTCGACCACTTTCAAAAGAAAAGAGATTCGAATCATAGCCGTAGCGTCTCAGGCAGAGGTAGTGCCATTTTACTGAGTCACGTTTGCGAGTGTATAAAATCAGTTCTGTGTCTGTAAGTTCCATTATGCCAGAACCCAACTCATTCCCATCATCATCCACATTAATGACCTAAAAAAGAAAGTCTAATTAGTGCTAACCTCATTCTCCTATTTGGCGGGCATACACTTATTTCACCAATTTGTCCAGAAAATGCAGCTAGTGATTGGTTCAGTTTTTCACTCCTTTGTTAGTTCATTCATCAACCAACATGTGATTAGGGCATAAAATATGTAGCCATGTATTATCTAGTACATATGTGCAACAATCTCACATTCCCACTGCGGAGAAAAGATAAAATACAAATCAACACCATAAAATTGTAAATGATTAATGCAACAGAGGCTGCAGAAGGCAGAAACTATAATATAGGGTTGTTGGATAAGCATTTCCATAAGAGAAGGGACGTTAGCTGAGCCTCAGGTATAATTAACTTTAGATAGCAAAAGTGAAGTTAAGAAGAGCTTGGGAGGGTGTGAGGTGGGAGAGGTGTCAGGCAGAAGCCATAGGGTATGTTCTGAAGCCATAGGGTTGTCTCTGCTGCAGCAGAGACAAATAAGAAGACATGTTCATAAAGACCAAGACAAGATTGGCACAGCATTCATGAAGGAAAAGCCTTGCACTGCAGAGTTTCTGAAAATGGTCAGACACTATGAAGAATAGATAACACTGGGCCTCCCTGATGGCACAAGGGGTTAAGCACAGTACTATGAAGATATCCGCAGCATCTGCAGCACAAGTTCGATCCCTGGCCGGCCAGGGAGATACCCACATGGCACAGCAGACCTCTCCTGTCTCGCCCACTGCTCCCCTCAGCAGTGTTTTCAGTCAATCTGTCTGTTCTGCTCCCAACTCTGTCTCTGATGAATCCTCTCACCCTCCCGCACTCTGGCCTGTACCCCAGTTCTTGTATGCATAAATAAATAAATCTGTAAAAAAAAAAAAAGAAAGAAAGAAAGAAATGGAACAAAGACTTATTGATAATGTAACCTGCACAAAGTCACAAAGCTATGAACAAAGTTATGCCTTACACCTAGGCTGTGTGTCCAAAGGTATTGATTTAAAACAGACTCAAGTCAGACTATGGGAAGCACTAATTAGTTGTGAATGAGTAAGGTATGAAGCATGTAGCCTCAAGCTAACAAAACACTGGAGAAGTTTTAGAATGAAGAAAGAAGAATATTGCCTTTATGTTGACCATAGGATGGATCATAGGGGTGACTAGAGGTAGGATCCAGTTAAAAAATTACCCAGACATGAAGCAACGACTAGGAGGTAGTGATGGGATCGAAGAGTCACTATAAAATGGCAGTTTAAAGAAAGTATTACCAGAACTGTGCTGCTAATTGGATACAGAAGATCAAATGAAAAATAAAAGAGGATTCCACACTGTCAGTAAGAAAATGTTGTTATCACTAAAACAAGGAAAAGCAGAGTGGACAAAGAGACCATAAACGAGGCTGGAGGGAAAAATGAAGAAGTGGGAAAAAGAAAGTGAAGTAAAAAAAACAAACAAAAAAGACATCCAAGAAGGCAGCGAGAAACATAACCAATTCTACTGACCTTAAACTTGTTCCGATGGTTATCTGGGACAGTGTCTTTATCTGGACAGCTACAACAGCTACCCATGGCTTCTTCAGAAGACCATGTGAGCACTACATGAAAGATAATGTGGAAAAAAGTATTAGACGAAGGATATAAAAATAGTAAAACAGCAAAAACTTTAGAAATCATCTAACATGAAGCCTGCATTATTTTTATGAAGAAAATTGAGCCCAAAAAGGTTTATAGGGCCTCCCTGGTGGCACAAGGGGTTAAGCACCACACTATGAAGAGATCCGCAGCCTCTGCAGCACAAATTCAATCCCTGGCCGGCCAGGGAGTTACCCACATGGCGAGGAAGACTTCTCCTGTCTCACCCACTGCTCCCCTCAGCAGTGTATTTCAATCTGCCTGTTCTGTTTCCCACTCTGTCTCTGGTGGATCCTCTCACCCCCTGCATCTCTGGCTTGTGCCAAAGCTCTTTGTATGCATAAATAAATAAATCTTTAAAAAAAAATTCAAGCAGTAACTTAACATACAGAATACTGGCAAATTGATAAACCATATCTATCTAATTCTTCTCCCCCACAGTAGATTTAAGAAATTAGAAATGACATTTAAATATCCAAGAATATTCCACATAAACAACAGGAAAAATTTAAAACCTCACTTATAAACAAGGAAAATTTCAAAATGAATGTGACAACATTGGGGAGGGGGGTAGAAGAAAGCATAAGAAGCTACTAAACATTAACAACAGAAATATGACTCAAACTTGCTTAAATTCTTCAGTGACTCTTCACTACCTTCAGGAAAAAAACTTAAAGCTCATCAGTGTGACATGAGGTCCTGCACAATTTGGTTCCTGTTTGGAACCTCTCCCTTTCCTCTGCTTCAAGTCCTACCCAGCTAAACAGCTCACCCAGAGCATCCTATTCTTTCACGCCTTTTTTTTTTTTTTTTTTTTAATATTTAAATGGTAGGTTTATTAGGGAAAGGGACAGAAGAATGAAGGACACTTGCATAGACACAAGTGGGCAGAAAGAGCTGCCCTGACGGGACAGGTTTGCTGAGAAAGGCCTGCATGGTTGCAGGCGGGCAGCCTTAAGGAGAGCGGCCTCCACTGAGGGAGGTCAGTGAAGAGAAGTCCTGGCAGGTACAGGTCACGGACAGGGCAAGAAGCTGCTGTCCTGCAGAGGGACAGAGGGACAGAGTTGGTGAAAAGAGACACCTGCATAGTCACAGGTGGGCAGTCACTCTTACATACTGCTCCCAACTGCTGCTTTCCTTTGTCAAAATTTTACTCAGTACAGCACCTCTTCTCAACACCAGTCAAATGCAAAAGTTACGCTTCTGATGTATCCCCCACAGCACCCTGTGCTTCCCAGTACCACAGCAGCTATCACACTTTACTTAGTAGAAAATTGGGATAGGCTGTCATTCTTCTCTACCTTCTTCCTTCCACTATGAACTCCTGCCCATCAGGCATGGCTCTTATTACACATTTTTGCATTCCCTGTGCCTAACACAACACCAGGCACATAGCAGGTGCTCTAAATCACTCGTGATGCTGAACTGCGCTACACTAAGGTGAAGAATGCCTGACAGGAATATGTAATAAGAAAAGGAAAAAGTGTACCAGTATGGAAACCAAAAGAAGTATAAATAAAATAGTAAAATTAAGATTTACATTCGTTTTTTGCTAACTAATATGCCAAGTATTATGGAATAAAGATGATTAAGTCACAGCAAGCACCTCTGAAAAGTCATGATCCTAAAGGGAGAGACAGAAATGTAAACATATAAGGAACTGTGATAAGTCTTATATTAAAATATGAAAAGAGGTCTGAGGGTACAGAGAAGGGAGTAACTAACTTTTTCAGTTTGGCAGGCGGACTACACTATTTAAAAAGGTAAACACAGGCCTCCCTGGTGGCGCAAGGGGTTAAGAGCAACCTATGAAGCTTCTGCAGCCACTGCAGCACAAATTCGATCCCCAGCCAGGGAGCTGCCCACATGGCACAACAGACCTCTCCTGTCTCGCCCGCTGCTCCCCTCAGCAGCGTATTTCAGTAATCCCCATTCTGTCTCTGGTGAATCCTCTCACCCCCCCCACCTCTGGCCTTTACCCTAGTTCTTGTATGTATAAATAAAATCTTAAAATAAAATAAAATAAAATGGTGAACACAAACAACAAGCTAGGCAAAAGTGGAAATAAGTTCTTGAGACAGGTAAGAGGAGCATGTGCAAAGACAAAGGTCATGAAAGGTTATAAAAGGTCACAATGCATTTAGAAGAAAGTGGGGAATCCAGTACAACTATGTCCAGGACAGATGTAACATAAGCAGGAGCCAAACCACAATACATCCTGAGCAATGAGGTAGGGATCTGTGTCCCGTGCCCCACGTGTCCAATAGACATAATTCTATCAAAGCACTAATCACATTCTACTCAAAAGCTTATCTGTGCCACCGCCACTCCACAGCGATCTCCCTTAAGTAGGAACCTTGTCTTCTGAATTTTCCAGGGCACTAAGTAGTCTGCTTGACAAATGTTTTATTTTTAAAAATTAATAACCATTTAATGATGAAAAGGAGGCAAAAAAAAAAAACATTTTAAAGAAGAGCTTCTTAAAATTACATATTCATCCTCTGCTGAGTTCCTCATAAATATAAAAAATTAAAACGTTATTACAGTGTAGGTTTTGCCTCCAAAGATGTTGCCTCAAAGGAATGTTTTAAACTATTTCTCAAAGGATTAGAAAAATCCATTTTTCTGCTTGCTGCCCGCACATGAGGCACCTTCCAGGTTGGCAAGGGTAGAGATAAGTGGCACTACCACCTCCTGGCAACTCTACCCACACCGAGTATTTCAGGGCAACACCATAGCTGATGAAAGCCTAACATGGGGCACGGAGCCATGTATGGCACACCAAGAAGAATGGATGTTATCCTACACATGATGGAAGTCACTGAAGAATTTTTTTTTTAAAGATTTTTGTTTTTATTTTTATTTATATAAGAACTGGGGTACAGTCAGAGGCATAGGAGGGTGAGAGAATTCTCCAGAAACAGAGCGGGGAGTAGAACAGGCAGACGGACCAAGGACACTGCTGAGGGGAGCAGCAGGTGAAATAGGAGAGGTCTGCTTGCCATGTGGGTTTCTCCCTGGCCAGCCAGGAATCGAAAATGCAGGCAGAGGCTGTGGACAGCTTCACAGCACGGCGCTCAACCTGCTGCGGGGAGGCCCCACTGAAGAATTTTAAGCAGGAAAGTGAGGTACTCTGGACTTCATTTTAAATCTATTCCTCTATAGGATAATTTAAGTGCGAGTTTAGCTCAGAAGAAGAAAGCCAGTTAGAAATAAAGAGAAGATGATGAATTTAAGAAATACATGTATTTTTAAATTTTCATTTATTTTTGTGTTGAAGAACTGGGGTGTAGACCAGAGGTGCAGCAGGTGAGAGGATTCACCAGAGACAGAGTGGGGAGCAGAATAGACAGATCTAATGAAATACACTGCTGAGGAGAGCAGCGGGCGAGGCAGAAGTCTGCTGCACCAGGTGGGTTAGCTCCCTGGCCAGGAGTCAAACTCATGCCATAGCAGTGAGGCCCTAAGAAATATTTAAGAAGACAGCAGAAATATTTTGGACAGAAGCACTGAGTGGCTGACTAGGAAAACAAAAAGGAAGGGACAGTTTTCAGTGTGGCAGATGAAGTGCTGCTGGCACCAATTTACTGAGGTAGAAAAAAACAGCAGTCTCCCAATGGATGGAATAAACTAGCTCAGTTTTAGACATGTGAAAATTGAGATTCCAGAGAACAAACAAGTGGTGACATACAACAGAGAGATAAATACACAAGTGTGGGTTTGAGAGAGTAGGTAAAATATTGGAACATAAATGATATTTGAAACTATAAAATAAAAGATACTGCTCAAGGGCAGTAGTTGAAATTCTGGGGTAGAGGCAGAAGCCAAAGTTCAGTGAGCAAAGGGAAAAGTCAGGAGTAGCCCCCAGAGAATGGAAGCTGTTCTTTGAAGAGCAGACCTAGAACGGAAAGTGTAAAGAGCTAGAGTGTGGACAGACATGGTTTCAACAGGAATATGTTGCTTGCACTGCTTACTGTCTTGAGATGACAGATTTGTGTAGCTTTATAACCAGTAAGTCAGAAAAGATTTAAAAATATAGGAATAAACAAAGGAAAGACAGGGATCAAGACAGAGTGGATGACTTAAGAAAACTAGTTCTGGGGCCCAGACTGAGAAGTCTGCTTAGAGGAGAAGGAATGCCTTGCTTTCAGAGGTGAGAAGGAAGAAAAGAAGGATGAGCAGGGCATGCTAGAGAAGCTGAAGTAAAGACAGCTATCATCCTAAAGTTCTCTGTAAACTAAAAGGTGAGTGTGCAGAATGAGGAACTTGAGAATGGTAAGTTACCCAAGAAAGGCAGCAGGTTATTAAGTCAGCTGTGCTGAGAGTTTGGCAGAAGCTGAAGAGCAAGACAATGCTGTTTCTCTAGCTGTGTTTAGCAGTCAAGTGGCCCAGGCTGAGAGGATACTGACAACACAGAGGCCTGAAGTGATCAGACCATCAACTCTGTCCAGGAAAGAGAGAAAAGTGGTGACAACTTAAAAGAGAAAATGAAGGCAAAAAAGGGATAGAATGGGTAAAGAACAGGCTTAGTATGACTGAGAGATTCAAACAGCTAGAACAACAAGCAGTTGTAGTTAATCTAACACAGAAGAGGTTGTGTGTGTGTGTGTGTGTGTGTGTGTGTGTGTGTGTGTGTGTGTGTGTGTGTGTGTGTGTGTGTGACCCTCGCCGGCAGCTGGGGAACGAACCGGCGCTGCAGAGGCTGCGGGCAGCCTCGCAGCCCAGCGCTCAACCGCTGCGTCACCAGGGGAGGCCCACAGAAGAGTTTTTTTAATGTGAAGTTCTTATCCACATCTGACTCCTGAACCACAAACTCCTTAAAGCAAGAGAACACAAGATACCAGATATTCTGCATTTATGACCACCACATTAGTATTTGGAGACCACATCAGAGTTATGTAAGACCTAATAATATGCACTAATACAGCAAATACTTGATGAGAAACCACATGATCTCACTAGTATATACGCTGCCAAGCTCATAATTCAGCAAAATCACAGAGACTTTTGCTCCCTCCAGAAAGCAACCTATAATCATAGCTAGGGTACATTTTAGAACAAAAGATAACTACTATTTGCGAGGATTAATATTGTAACAAGTTTACTATTTTATTTTATTTTTATAGAGGCATGTTTTATTTATTTATTTGTTTGTTTGTTTGGTTTTTTTTGTTTGTTTATACATGCACTGGGTACAGTCAGAAGCGCGGGAGGGTGAGAGAATTCACCAGAGCCAGAGCGGGGAGCAGAACAGGCAGAAGGACCGAAGTACACTGCTGAGGGGAGCAGCGGGCGGCAGGAGAGGTCTGCGCGCCATGTGGGACCCTCCTCCGGTGGCCGGGGAGCAGTCGGGGATCGAACCGGCGCCGCAGAGGCCGTGGGCAGCCTCGCAACCCAGCGCTCAACCGCTGCGCCACCAGGGAGGCCCAAGTTTACTATTTTAAATTAGTGAACACTGTCTCAGTTTAACACTATTTGTCCTTATTCTTTGGTGGTAGGAGGTGATAATAAATTAGGAGGCAAAATAATAGCATTCAAGAAAACTTTATTAAAATCTCTAGTTTAAAAGATGTAACTTTGGGACTTCACAATTTTTTAAAAAATAAACTTTAACTTACCTAGATCTGGCCATTAATGTTCTTAGCCTCTGCTGCAGCATCAGGAATTTAATCATACTTCAAAACACCATGGCTTTTTTTGGTTTAGTGACATCCTACAAATGGCATGAGGAAATAAAGAATTTTTAATTTCCTTTAATCTACTTGAACTCTGAAGTAAAAAAATTGATTAAAATTTTAACCAATGAATATATGTATATATTATCATTAACATAGCCTTTTCCAAAAAAATAAAAATAAAAATGCAGTGGACTAAGTTCTATGCTATTTGGATAATAGGACCTTTAAAATCACCAATTCTGGCTTCTCCACAATAAATAGCTATGACATTGGATGACTCATTTCTCTATACTTACCTCCTCAATCATAAGAGAGGTTAGACTAAACCACCCTCACGGCTCCTTTCCAGCTCTTAACAGCCCACATTAGCCAGCAGTAGGCTAATTCTTCACCTCCAGTCATTTTGTGTAAGCCTCATCACCACTCCTCCCAAAACACTGACACTCGTTAGAATCTACTTCTTTCTTTTTCTATTCCATAGGACTCCCCACAACCAAATCTGGTATCAGTTATTAGAGAAAAGTTGGTATGAACAAACATGCTGTACAGTCACAAAATCATAATATTTTAAATTGTAGCAATAAATTATAGTCTAGGGTTACAAGAGTTAGAAGAGAGTTTAATATATTTTTAGAAATTTTTTGGTCAATTTAGTAACTTTTTATAACAGAAAAAAAATCAACCTCAAACACAGGCACTAAAATTTACTGAATAGTTACACTAAATCAAGCATTATGTTACAAATGAGAAATAAGTCTCATTTTAATCTATATATTAACTGGAGTTAACAAATATGACTGACATCTAAAATGAACATTTTCAAAAACCATGTGCACACACACATTCAAAACTTTCAAGTCTCAATTTCTAACTCATCTGTAAAATCAGCGGTCAGTCAGGTGTTTGCTTATGCCCCCCATGAGGTGCAGCTACAACCCCCATGTTAGGGTGTACAGCAACCCAGTGCCTCCTTCTTAGCATACCTTCTGTTCTATAAAAGTTTTAGCATGTATCATGCTTTGCTTCTGGGCTTGTAAAACTGTCCAGCTAGTTCTAACATAAACCATTACTCTTATAGAATACATATTGTTTGCCCATCTCTTTTTCTAAGAGATTTTAGCCAATTAACTCAGGAAAATCATCCTTCCTTTACTAATTTCTCTCACAAACATTTGTTAACCTCCATCCCGAAATGAGTTTAATCATAATGTAATTTAGAGAAGCATAATTTGTCTATAAGCCTATGTCAAGGAAAAGCCATATGGCTTGAAATGAAGTTAAACACATTAAAGAGTCAGTAAACCAACCAAAACAATTCTTGAAAATATTTTTAAACCTCCATTAGAGTAACTGGAACACTTTTATTGTCCCATTTTTAGGCTTTCTTTTTTATCTTTTCCCAATTTTTTACTGTGACAAAATACACATTAACATGAAATTTACAATTTTATCCATTTTTAAGTGTACAGTTCGGTAGTGTTAAATATATTCAACAATGTTGTGCGACCAATCTCCAGAACTTTTTTCATATTGCAAAAGCAACTCTGTACCCATCAGACAACTCTTTCTCTTTTTCCTTTCCCTCTCCTGGCAACCCCCATTCTTACTGCATTTAGAAAGTAGTCACTCTTGATACCTCATAAGTGAAACACAGTATTTATCTTTTTGTTCTTGGCTTATTCACTTTAGCATAAAAATTTCATCCACATCATAACATATATCAGAATTGCTTTCCTTTTAAGTAATAATCCATTTTATGTATATGCCATAGTTTGTTTATTCATTCATTTGTTGGTAACATCTGTCCACCTTTTGGCTATTGTGAATGATTCTGTTATGAAATGTTCAAATATTTCAAGATCCTGCTTTCAACTCTTCTGGATATACACCCAGAAGTGGTATTTGGTGGATCACATGATAATCCTATTTTTAATTTCTTGAGGCACTACCATATTATTTTCCACAGTGGTACCATTCATGACCCTGCCAGCAATGTACAAGGGTTCCAATTTCTCCTCATCCTCACCAACACTCATTGTTGTTGTTTTAAATATTAGCCATATTAATGGATGTTAGGTGGTATCACAATGCAGTTCTGACTTACATTTTCCTACTGGTGGTGATGAGCATTTTTTCAGTGTGTGCTATGCAAGTGTCATTAGTATACCTTCTTTCAAAAAGCATCTATTCAAGTCCTTATTTTATTTTTGACTCAGGCTATTATTTTGTTGTTCAGTTTCAGGAGTTCACTATATATTCTGGGAATTAATCTTTTATCAAATACACAGTTTGCAAATGTTTTATCCCATTATGTGGGTTTTGGCCTTTTTTTTTTTTTTTTTTTTTTTTTTACTGTTGAAAGTATCTCTTGATAAACAATTTTTTTCATTAAGTATAATTTATTTTTGCTTTGTTTTGTCTATACTGCCTAGTCCAATGTCATGAAAGTTTTGCCCTATGCTTGTTTTCTTCTAAGAATTTTATTTCTTTATGCCTTATATTTAGATCTTTGGTACACGTTGATTTAATTTTTTTATGTGGTGTTAAATAAGGATTCAACTTCATTCTTTTGCATGCAGAAACAATTTGTGGGAAAAACTGTCCTTTCCCCATTGGATGGTCATGGCATCCCAGTCAAAATTTGAAATATCTCTGTGACAGTTTACTTCAGAGTTCCCTATTCTATTCCTCCGGTATATGTGTTTGTGATCGCACCACACAATTTTTATTACTGTGACTTTGCAGTTTTTGAAGTCAGGAAGTGTGAATTGTCCATTTTTGGTTTTTCCAGATTGCTTTGGCTATTCAGGTCTTCAGATTCCATATGAATTTTATGATACATTTCTATTTCTGAGAAGTCATTGGGATTTTAATAGGGATTGCATTCAATCTGTACATTTCTTTGGATCGTAGTGACATTTTAACAAGACTATATCTTCCAATCCATAAATATGACATACATTTACTTGTCTTCTTTAATTTCCTTCAACAATGCTTTATAGTTACTATTGCTAAAGTCTTTACCTTTTTGGTTAATTCCTTAGTATTTTATTTCTTTGTTGTTAAACATGGAATTTTTTTTAAAGATTTATCTATTTATACATACAAGAACTGAGGTACAGGCCAGGTTGCGGGAGGAGTGAGAGGATTCACCAGAGACAGAGCGGGAAGCAGAACAGGCAGATGGACCAAAAACACTGCTGAGGGGAGCAGCAGGAGGAGAGGTCTGCCGCGCCATGTGGGTCTCTCCCTGACCGACCAGGAATCAAACCCGCGCTGCAGAGGCTTCGGACAGCTTCACAGTGCTGCGCTCAAACTGCTGCGCCACTAGGGAGGCCTAAACATAGAATTTTTTTCAACATCCTTTTCAAATTATTGTTAGTGTATGTAACTAATTTTCAAATGTTATTTTGCTAAATTTAGTTTTTTGTACAATCTTGAATTTTCTTCATATAAGATTAGGTCATCTGTGAAAAAAGAAAAACTGACTTCCTTTGACATGATCACGTGGATTTATTCCTGGGAATCGAGGATGATACAACATATAAAAATCAGTCACTGCAAAAGATCACATGAAAAGAATAAAGTTCAAAATAAGACCACATGACATCTAGAATGATGCAAGAAAAAGCTTTTAACAGATATCAACAACTTAGTACTGGAAGTTCTAACTAGAGTCATTAGGCAAAAAACAGAAAAGGCATCCAAGTTGGAAAAGATCCTGGTATATATGCAGCTGAATTTGGTTTGCTAGTGTTTTGTTGAGAATTTTTACATCAATGTTCATAAGGCATAAAGGTATAGACTTCTTTTCTTACAGTATTTTTGTATCTTGTTTTGCTTGGCTCAAAGAATAGAGTTAGGAAGTACTCCCTACTCCTCAGTTTTTTGGAAAAGTTTGAGAAGGATTAGTATTAGTTCTTTAAATGTTTGGAAGAATTCACGGATGAAATAGTCAAGGTCCAGGGCTTCCCTAGTGGCCAAGGGGTTAAACACCACACTGTGGCACTATGAAGCAATCCGCAGCCTCTGCAGCACAAGTTTGATGCCAGGGCTGGCCAGGGAGCAATCCATATGGCGAAGCAGACCTCTCCTGTTTTGCCCACTGCTCCTCTCAGCAGTGCATTTCAGTCAGTCTGCCTGTTCAGTCTAGTTATTTACATTCTGTCTGGTTAATCTGTATCTATTACTCTAAGTAGAGTACTGAAGTCTCCAACATTACTGCAAAACTATTTTTCCTTTCAATTCTGTCAGGTTTTGCTTCATACATTTTCATGATCTGTCATTAGGTATGTAAATGCTTATAACTGTTTAATCTTCTTGTTCTATTAAATATGTTATAACCTTGTAACCTTTTAAAATTCAAAGTCTATTTTGTTTGGTATTAGTATAGCCATCTCTTCCCTGCCCTCTTCTGGTTACTATTTGCATGTCATACATTTTTCCATCTTTTCACTTTCAATCTCAAGTGAGTCTCTTGTAAAAAACAGCATGTAGCTGGATCAAGTATTTTTATCCATTCTGCCAATCTTTGTGTTTTTATTTTGTTTTTTAAAGATTTAATTATTTATGCATACCAGAACTGGGGTACAGTCCAGAGGTAAGGAGGGTGAAAGGATTCACCAGAGACAGAGTGGGGACCAGAATAGGCAGACTGACTGAAATACACTGCTGAGAGGAACAGCGGGCGAGACAAGGAGAGGTCTGCTGTGCCATGTGGGTTGCTCCCTGGCCAGCCGGGGATTGAACTCGTGCTGCAGTGGCTGGAGACAGCTTGACAGTGCCGCCACCAGGGAGGCCCAGATATAGGATTCTTGATTGACATTTTCTTTTAGCATTTTTAATATATCAATCCTCAGTCATCTGGCCTTCAAAGTTTCTGATAAGCAATCTGCTGAGAATCTTATTGAGGACTTGCTTTATATGATGATTCATTTAGTTTGATGCTTTCAATTACTTGTCTTTGGCTTTTGGAAGTTTGATATATTCCTGTCTTTCACCAAATTTGAGAAATTTTCAGCCAATAGTTCTTCAGATATTCTCTTATTCTTATTTTTTCTCGTGCAGGATTCCCACAATGAGTATATTGGTCTGCTTACTGATTTCCCAAGGGTCCCTTAGACTGTGGGAAGATTTCTTCAGTCTTCATTCTGTAATTCTGTTTCCCACATAGTTTTACTGTCCTATCATCAAGTTCACTGATTTCTTTGCTTTGTGTGCTCACATTTGCCTTTGACTCCTTATATTTTCATTTTAGTTACTTTACTTTTTACCTCTAGAATTTCTATTTGGTTTCATTTTCTTTTTAGGTTTTCTATTTACTATTATATCCATTTTGTTCTTTCCTTTCCATATCTTCCTTTAGTTCTTTAAGCATCTTTAAGACAGTTCTCTTAAAGTCTTTATCTAATGTATCCACCACTAGGCTTTCCTCAGGGGCAGTTTCTGTTGATTTTTTTCCTTTGAATGGGCCATACTTTCCTGCTTCTTTATATGCTTTGTGATTGTTATGATGTAAAAAAACGAGACACTTGAATCTAATGATGTGATAACTTTGAAAATAAGCTTCCCTCCCTCCCTGGGGTTTGCTGTTTTTTATTATTAGGTTTTTTTGTTTGTTTGATTGCTGTAGCCTGCCTTTGAGCCAAGGGTCAACAAGAGGTATAAGCTCAAGGTCTAAGGTCTTTTCTGAGCCTTTACTTGGATATCCATGGTCAATTTCTAATTTTTACCAATATATGCAATTGTTTAATACCCTAATCTTGGATATCTGGCTTTAAATCTCCTGGAAGTCACTTCAGTTGGAGAGACTTACAACATGGAGGGAGATGCAACATCTTTGGCTCCATGGCTTCTTTTCTATAGAAAGCAACAATCAGTAATCCCAGCACAGATCCCTGATATTTGGAAGACCAGGTTATTTCATGCCTACTCTGATTCTCACAAGCTGCACACATGCTGCATGTGATTAGGAGGAGGAGAGATGGGTATCTGGTACAGTGCTAAGAGCTATAATTGGCCAAATTAACCAAGTCTTCCCCTGGCAGTTGCAAGTCTTTAATAACCTCAGAGTTCCAAAATACTGAGTCTCTCAAGCACAACTGTTGTTTAGGTGGAGAGACAGATTCCTGATCCTTTCTAGCTAGACCATCTTCCCCAAATCCTCTCTAGATCTCTTTTTGAGGAGCAACATATATTCAGTTTTATTATACTGATTATTAACACTATCAAAGTATTTTGGAGTTTTTGTTTGCTTTTACTGCTTCTTCAATGCAAATATCTAGCATATTAGCTGTATCAAAGACTGAAAGGCTTTATGTGACCCATTTACAGGACAGTTTCTACAAGAAACACATTCTGGATGTCAAGCAACAAATAAACACAGCACTCTTAGAATTAACAAAATCCAATGGATTAGGGGTTCCCTGCCTTTGACTCTGGAACATAGCAGTCTTAATTAAATTCTTCATGATGTCTTAACCACCTTTGGCTTCTTACCATTAATGAAAGACTTAGAACCAAGAGGTGACTGGGAGATAGTAAGAGGGAAGAGGTAACTATAGTCACTCTATGGAACTATAATCATGTAAAATGGACATCTTTCTATAAAAAAGGGATACATATTAATATCAACTATGATTCTATAATCAAGAATATGATGATTAAGAAGCTAAAAATTATACTAAATACTGTAACACCTTATTACTATTTTTTACTATACCAAAGCCCTACTACATGTCAGACATAGATTCAATGGATAATCTAATCCATACAATCACCCTATGCTGTAGGTATTAATATTTCTGTGTTCCAAATGAAGAAAGCAAGGTTTGAAGAGGTTAGGTAGCTTTCCCAAGGTCAATAGCTGATCACAGAAAAAGACAGAATTAAATCCACACCTCACTCTAAACCCCACATTGTTAGTAATTAATAGATTTAAAACACTGTCTAGCATACAGTAAGCACTCAGTAAAGGTTAGCTATTGTAATAACAACTGTAATTTATTATAAAACAATGTTGTATGCCTTTGATAATCAGTCAAACTTTCTGTGTCCAAATTTCCTCATTTGTAAGATTAGGGTACCTATTTCACAGCATAATTACGAAAACCAAGCAAATTCTGGCTATAAAGACATTTGAAAAAATAAACGGTATTTAAAAAACTACGGCATTATTATATCACTGCTACCGGTAAAATCCTCTCTTTTGTATCACAAAGAAGGTTTTTGCATTGTCAGCACTGAAGCCTAGAATTTAGGCACTATCCTCCTAACAAGAGTTACATTAATAAATTTAGTAAAGCTGTCCTAAATTATTCCAATGATTCTTGCAAAACGATAAGCAAAGAACACTGAACTCTATTCACAAGAGTGATTATAAATTTGTTGCTTATGAAGGTATATTTGCTCTTTCAGTTCACTATCACTAAGGGTGAATTTGGCTTATACTACAGTAGTTCTGTTCAAATATAGTCAGGACAGACTATCTATAGTTAGAAGCATGGTAACATAACTCTTAATTTTGGGTATAGCTAACTGCTGCATTTAATTACATTAAAACAATCAAGAAAAAGGCATTCAAAAACCTTGTTGTTTTGTGCCAATGTTGTGGCTGGTTGTTTTTAGACTATTGGGTACATCTCTTTTTATTGATATGCATTAGTTTTCAGTCTATTCTTAACACAGATAAGGATTTTTTTTTTTTAACATTATTCTAAGAAAGAGGACCTTGGGGAAAAAAGAAAGGAGAAAGACTCTTAGTATATCCTGCTGGTCACCTAACCAGGACCATTCTGTGAAAAGGACATCTGTAACATAGTTTTCTTGTTAGCTGAAAATTTTCACATGTACATGCAAAACCAAGAGTACTCAAGTATTTTTTAGCATCTATCTATGTATATGGTATCTGCATATCCTAAGCAGATTTTTTTTTCTTTCAGGTTTTTCATTCTACTAAGGACAATGTACTTGAGCCACTTTACAATTCATAACCTTCCATCCACCACCACCACCCTTTTTTAATAATGCTCCAAAAAATCAATTACATTACTTACAAATCACTTCAATATCTGGTACTTTATTTTCTGGAAACTCTTTATGGCTAATCTAAAGTCCTTGTACTGCAATTTAAACCAGATTCCTCTCATTTCTGTTTTCTCTGTAAGAGACAAGTAAAACCAGGATGATCAAGACATTAAACACATCTTCTGTAAATTTAAACTGCCATAAATTCACTTTCCTATGGGTAAATCTAAAATATTAAGTAACATTTCTTTAAGACAGTTTTTTTTTATTAAGTGAATAAACAAGTAACTTAGTGGAGAAAAATGATTTGTAAAGTTATCATTATTAAGGAGAAAATAAAAAATGAGTTCATGCATTTCTCTATCCACACACTGATGCACTCAGCAAATATTTTCTGAGCACCAAGTCTGTTTTTCCAGGCATTGTATTAAATGCCAGAAATAAAGATAATACTCACAGTCCTTGAATTAAAAGGAGTTTAATGGTTAGTAAGGGAGACAGACAAGAAAATGAGTAAGTAGCAAAGTTGCACACCCATGCACTGGTGCCACCAGAATATTTAACTCAGAGCAAAAGCAAAGACAAGAGAGGCAAGGGAAACTTGCTGGGAAAGGTGATCCCTAAGTTGAGGCCTAAAAGACAGTTAGCAGGTCTAAAAACAGCAGTTAGCCAGGGCAAAAGCAATCCAAATCCAGGAGAGAGTAAACAGCGCACAGAAGCCTAAAGGAACATGGCCTGCTCCAGAAGCAGCAACCAATTCCTTCTAGTTGGATAGTAGAGCATGCATGGGGAACATCAGGAGGCAGGCAAGACAGGAGCAAGCTACTTTATGAAGGAAAAGTTTACACTATTGAGGGCAGTTTGCATTTTTCCTTCCAATCTTAAAGATATCATTAAAGTTCTATCAAAATACATCACTATATCACAGAAAATATACAAAGGAGAATTTCTAGGTATTTTTTTATAACTTCCAATTTTTAAGAATAAAAATAATGGGATTTTACTCTCTATTATGCCCAATATCTAACTGTAAATCACAGCATCCATCTATAAGCATTCTCCCAACAGTACTGAACCTGTAGTGAATGTCATTGTAGAGTAAAAGCCTTGAAACTCAGATTCAACCTTCCAGATCCATAAAATGTCATCTACTCTAGATGTATTTTACACTGTATTTTACACTGAATTTGACCAAGTCATTTTTAATCATACATTTTCAGATGGTAGGGACAGAAATACAAGTCTGTATTATCTGTATCTTTATCAACTACCTATCTATCAACAATTGTGTGTATCTAGCAAATGCCATTTAGAAATGATTCTACAATGGCTTGCTACCAATAAAACAATAAAAAGTTAAAATAGATGATACAAAATATAACCTCTACCTTTAATAATAGTGGTCATCATTTAATTCTGAAATCATCTATAACCTTGAAACACACTTATACCAGAAACACTGGTGATGAAATTTATACAATTAAATCTGAGTGCCCATAATCTCTGCCCTAAGCCATAAAAACACACCTACAGATGTGCAAACCCAGCACATGAGTCACTGTTTTAGCTAATAATGTAATCAGCACCAGTGGCAACAATCCCAGCACCTTCAATCACAGGAAAAAATATCATCAGCCTTGGGAACTCTCAAAGAAACCCTTACTTTAGTGTTTTATGTTGCAATATATTATACAAAGATATCAAATACTGTGCTCCAGCAACATCAAAGCGATGAAAATTCTGTATGACAAATCACATAGCTCTCTCCAACTAAAAATTCACAGATTGCATCACAGAAAGAAGACATGTGATTGCAAAGTAACAGTAACAGTGTATAGGCATTCTCCAGAAAGAATTCATCAATAACTCTCAAAATTGGAATGAACATATTTTATCTTATTGAGATAGTACATCCAATTTTCTGCATATTGTAAATAAGAATTCCATGTTTGTATTTTTCAACCCAGTTGATTCTTATAACTGTGTCAAATTAACAAATTACTGTTTAACCCTCATAATCGACCTCTAGCATAGACTAATAAACACTAGTCTGCTAGCAGGGATTGAACTCTAAGTATGATAAATATTAACTTATGAGGTTTTATTAAACTGAACAACAGTAGTAGGTAAAGCAAGTATGAATTTTACAATATTTTTCTTACTGTGGCATACCTAATAGCTATTAAAAAGCACTTGGCTTTATGGCTTTATTTAAACTTCAAAACAACAAAACACTAAATTCAACACTACACTACAAAGTTCATGTTAAACAAACATAAAAAATTGTTCAAATCGATCAAGCTATAAACATCAATAAAAGACATGCAAGAAAATCTCTACATAGTTTCACTTTTTTATTAATAAGCTTAACCTAGAACTAAATAACATTAAGGAAAGATAAAAGTAAATAAAAGGGTAACTTTCCAAACTAAATATACAGATGTATACGTAGAACATACCATTAATTTTCATAATAACTCAGAAGATTATCATGCTATTTACTAGGCTCATATTAAAAACCTATATACTGGCTATGTGTTTATAAAATGTATACACACACACACACACACACACACACACACACACACACAGAGTCTCTCTCTCTTTCTTTCTCTCTCTACTCAAAATAAGCCAGATGCCAAGCAACTCCAAATAACCCTTAAAGCAAACTGCTTCATGAATAGCTCATCAGTTTCTGCATTTAACTCAATCTAAATGCTCTTAAACATATTCTGAAAGGAAAATATACTTGATTATTTATTTTCTACTTTTAGAGCAATGCATTCAAATTTACTATTATAAGTAGCATTTAAACACATCCGATTCAAATATACTAGTAATAAAAACATTTGATGTGTTTTCGAACATTCTCCCCCCCACTACAAAATGGCAACAACAAAAAGTTAACCAGAAATATTTACAACAGAGTATATCTATCCCTTTGATTAACTTTTAAAACATTAGACATAAATAAGCATTATTTAAAGCATGACAAAGAAAAATGTTCAGGGTATAAAGTTCAGGAGAAAAAAAAGAAAACTATTCTTTTAAAATGCAATCCAGGGGGCCTCCCCCGTGGCGCAGCGGTTGAGCGCTGGGCTGCGAAGCTGCCCGCAGCCTCTGCAGCACCAGTTCGATCCCTGGCTGGCCGGCGAGGGTCCCACATGGCGTGCAGACCTCTCCTGCGGCCTGCTGCTCCCCTCAGCAGTGTCTTCTGTCTGTCTGCCTGTTCTGCTCCCCACTCTGACTCTGGTGAATTCTCTTACCATCCCGCGCTTCTGACTGTACCCAGTGCTTGTATAAATAAATAAATAAATCTTTTAAAACAAACAAACAAACAAATAAATAAAATGCAATCCAGTATCCTAGATTGGATCTTGAAATGGAAAAAAAAGACACTAGTGGAAAAACTGGGGGAGTCCAAATCAAGTCTGTAGTTTAGTGACAAGTATTAAACCAGTGTTAATTTCTCAGCCTTGACAAATGTACCATAGTTACACAAGATTAACATTAGGAGAAGCTGGGTAAAGGGTATATGATAATCTCTTGAACTTTTTTTTGTCTTTTCTGTGCTTCTAAAATTGTTCTGGAAAAAAAGTTTATTTTTAAAATTACTCTTCAGCATATGCGTTGTTTATAATCAACAATAAATTAGCTGAAGAATATACAAATCAATACTTGATTATAGCCTTCTTCGGAAAAGACAGAAAAGTTAGAAAGGCCCACGAAGAGCCCAAAGGCAGACTACATACAAAACAGGTTAGGGCAGACTGGGAAGAACACAGTGGCCAAGGGAAACTGCCAGCAGAATTTAAGTAGGCAAAACCTAATTAGAAAATGCTGAACACTTGCCAATACCAGAACTTAACATCCACTCTTAGGCTGAAGGTGCTCATAGCCAACAAAATTATGCTCAGAATTCACATGTCTCAGGGGAATGTCCTGAAAGGCACCCTAATTCTAAGAATTTATGGAGATACACAGCCTGGATTTATTCCAAATAAAAATAATGCAGTTTGGACATCTGGTGTACAACCACCCACGGAGAGCTTCTAGAAACACTCTTAGTACTAAGATGTGTTTTCTAAGTTTTTCTCCCCAAGGCTTTAAAGTGGTATCCTAGTGCAATATATTTAGCAACACAGGTAGAACTGTCAGGGTCCAGTGATCACTGGGATTTTGGAATCAAATCCTATTTTAGATGTCTGATAATATCAAAAATAATTTTTTTCTGATACTTTAAGGGCAAAATATGTTCAACAACTCCAATAAGCCATTTTGTATGTTTATAAAAGTGTCAGTAAAATCAGACAAATGCATTTGATAAGCAGTCTTTTCTAAGCAATAATCAGGGTGATATATCTGTATCAGGCTGTCTGCCCCTCCCAAACTGGCAAACTCTTGCCAGTTCCAGGTTTTGAATTTTTTTTTAAACCTTTGATTTTGGTCACCTTGGTTCACAGCAGATAACACACAGCAGGCCCTAGACATGTCATTTAAAACATGTGCTCTTTTTTCTTTTTTCTTTTGACTCTTCACGAACTCTATAATCAGATACTCACACCTATTGAGAATAGATGCAAAATAAGGCCCTATACTCAGACACATAGGAATAATTTATGTTAAAGTATATGTTCTTTATCATGTATTAGTACAGCTGAATCATATGAGTCACAACAGCAGTTTTAAGAATCAAAAGTCCTTTTTGCTTATATTCCAGTTCTTGGTCATTTTTTAAAAAGTGGAACTATCAAAAAAGTGATCCTCAGGTATGGTGGCCAATATTGCTATTCTTATTGTTATTCTTTTGAATACTAACAGATATACAATATACTGTGTTTCATTAAAGCTAAGACAAATTGATTTTACTCATTATACACCAATGAGGAAAAAAAAAAGCTGTCAACTAAACTATGTCATGCCAGTAATTACAAGGTACACCCTAAATTTAGTGAATAAAATTGGAAAATGTCTCCTAAAATCATTAAAATGTAGTATACAGTCACTGAAAACCATCAACTCATTTTTAACACTAAAGAAAGCGTGTTTAAGATATTTTCTCAGGCCTCCTGAGAAACACTGTGGCGCAGTGTTTGAGCACTGGGCTGCGAAAGCTGCCCGCAGCCTCTGCAG